ATAAATAAATAAATAAATAAATAAATAAATAAATTTAAAAAAAATGGAAAAAGAAAAAAGAAAAAAAAGAAAAACAGCCGAGTATTTGCATAAACCTCTCCAAGGTGAAGCCAGACCAAGACATCTGTGAGAAAGGTTTACACGAGCACATAACAGGTGTCCTTTCACTGAACCAACCACTCTGTCCCCGTGCCGAAGGCTCCAATCCCACTGTGTGCCTGTCCTTCTTCTCCTGAACATGGCATTTGAATCTCTGAGTAGAAAACTCAGTCGAATTAAAAGTGACACAATTCATTCTGGAACCAGCAAGAGCCACTCTATCCTTGGGCCTTTTTGTCAAGTCCTCATCTTTGACTGCTCTGACCCGTGAGGAATGACAGATGTTAAACAAAAATGAAAACAAAAAGAAAAAGAACAAAAAACCCCACGGGCCCAAAATGTCGTCACTTAGAAAACGATAAAGCCAATTAGATCTGCAAATGTACCTGACTGATTTTTATTTAACACAGACAATGGACTTTCCGCTGGTGAACACCCAATCATGCCTGGGGCAACCGCTCGCCCAGGGTATCTGTGTGACTGAGAATATCAGACAAAGAGCATCTGAATGATGCCTGTGTCCTGTGGTCATACAGCGTTAGGGACTCTCAATGAAACCAGCACCAATGAAACCGGCAGATGACCAAGGAACCACCCAAAAATAAGATGGATTTTTTTCATTCAGTGCCTGAGAAAACTAACAAGTTCATATATATTCACATATATATATTTTAAATTCTAGACACATCACATATAGTAATTATGTTTTTGAGGCATTCAGAGGAGGTCACGGAGATCGGGAGCACACAATAGTTGCTTAAACTACAGGATGGAAAATAATAATATTTGCATTCCCATGGCTTTGACAGCTTGCAAACTCCTTCCTTCCTTCCTTCCTTCCTTCCTTCCTTCCTTCCTTCCTTCCTTCCTTCCTTCCTTCTTCCTCCCTGTCTCCCTTCCTTCCTCTCTCTCTTCCTTCCTCTCTTCCTCTCTTCCTTCCTTCTTCACCCTGTATCACACACACTGGCGCCCCCTGCCTTCAGGGAGTGCACTTCCGCTGGCCTGGATGTGCGTGGACACAAATGACTGTGACGCACTGAAAATCGTGGCTCTGGGCAGGGACACTGTTGCTGGACAAGGCAAGTGACACGCAAATCCCACGTCTCCTTCCGGCAGCACTGAGAGACCCTGCGGTAACCGCAGCTCCATGAAACCGACCGAAGGCTGTTACCCCGTTGCACCAACAGGGAAACCAAGGTCAAGGGGCATTGTTGGCAAACGATTCTTGTGCAGAGAACAAACGCCTCGAAATGAGCTCGTCATAATTCTTTCCGCCAAAGTAAAAATGAGTTATTAGTCGCCATTACTTGTCTTTGGCTATCGCATTCAGTGAAATACAAACAAAAGTACGTACCGAACGCCCCGATTTTATGGGACATCTACCTCTGTGCTCAGGGCAGATACAAGGGAAAACACATAAAGAGGAAAGGAACATGGCCTTATACTGAAAGAGCCTCGAAATGAGCTGGAGGGTCAGGCACGGATGCAGCGTCGTGGGATGAAAGACGGCAGCGTCTGAAACCACGATGCCGAGGTGCTCGGGGCATTCGAGCTGCTGGCCTTGACGGAAGATCTTCCCCGCTGGGACGTCCTTTTCCCGCCAGCAGAGTGAGGCGGCTGGACCAGGAGCTCGCTCGGGGCCCCTCTAATGCTCAGGGACCCCAGGCACACAGACGATCAGGACGGAGACCCGGGGCCTCTGACTCCTCACGCGTGCGCGCCTCCCCAGCCAAACGGCTGGCCGACAGCACCCCAGTCCGGGTGGACCTGAGCCCCTGCTCCCCGTGCTCCCCGTGCAGGCACACATCTTACCCAGCCCCGCAGCAGCTCGTAGGCCGTGATACCCAGGGACCACCAGTCGACGGGGTACGAGTAGCCGGGGCCTCCCTCCACATACACCTGGAACACTTCCGGGGCTGCCAAAGACAGGACAAAGACGATGTCACTGCACGTCACAGTTTACACTCACCGGCCCTCAGAGAGGGGACATGGGGACAGTAACCCAGCTTCTCGGAGGGCGGAGCCAGGACTCTGTCCACTGCACCACGTGGTTCCTGCCCTCTGTAAGCCACAAGTGGGTTCAAGAACAAGATGCGGGCATCCCCAGAAACACAGGTGTGTCCCCCGGGGAGGTACCCAAATGGGGTGCTCCGGAGCACCCAGGTGGCCCAGTCGGTGGAGCGTCCGACTTCGGCTCAGGTCATGATCTCGCGGTCCGTGAGTTCGAGCCCCGCGTTGGGCTCTGTGCTGACAGCTCGGAGCCTGGGGCCTGCTTCGGATTCTGTGTGTCCCTCTCTCTCTGCCCCTCCCCTGCTCATGCTCTGTCTCTTAAAAATAAATAAACGTTAAAAAACTTTTTTAAATAAAAGGAGTTTTCAAGAAACATTTAAAAAAATTAAAAAATTAAAAACCAAGTGGGGTGCACCAAGTGCGGGGTGGAGGCGGTCTGCTGGGGGGAGGTGGGTTGGGGGAGCGGGAATCCCAGGCAGCACGAACACGGGTGGGGTAAGATCTCAGCTAAGAGGAAGAAACCACACCTTGACAAATGTCACTCTGCTTCTGGCACTGACGCCGGGTCAGGCATGCCGACAACCGGGGACGTTTGGGACCCTTTGAGCCTGCTGCCAATCTCAGGAAACCGTTTTAGTTTAGCATAGGTGGGATCTACGAGGACCTCCCCGAGTTGGAAAATCCAGAGACAGAAGGCAGATCGCGGGTGCCCCAGGATGGGGGAGGGGCAGATGGGGGGTGACCACTGAATGGGTGTCCTCCGGGGGACATGACGACGTTCTGGAACTAGACAGAGGTGGTGGCTGGGTGGTGCTGAGAATGTACTCCATGCGACAGAATTGCTCCTTTAAAACGGCAAGTTTTGGTCTGTGAATCCATCTCACCTCAGCTGAGCGAAAAGTGAAGGCTGGACGGCCGAGTGTGCTGGGCCCTGATTCTTATTCTTCAGGGCACTGCGGTGGTGCTGGGGGGTCCCTTGGCCCTGAGGCGCCCTAACGTGCCGAGTGGTGGGGTCATCTCACTGCCTCGCCCTAAAATCAACGAGGCCAGGAGGGCATCTATGCTGTGATTGCTCGTCTCGGCTTCCAGAAAAACTTTGGGAAATGTGGATCCTTTCCAGCAAATTAATTTGCAGACGTAATTCCATTTTACAGTCGTCACAGCAGCCGAAATCTGTCCCTTGGAACCACAATGTGCTGTGATTAAAGAGGTCGCGACTCAGTTTTCAGAATGGCCTTCAGTGAGCATGGGAACGGGGAGGGCTGGACGAGGCAGGCGACACGGACGCTGGAATCTGGGCCCTTGGGCTGCTGGACACTTGCCCCCAACCAGCCGCCACACACCAGCCGCCCCGGCGATGCTCTCCACTTGCTTCGTATCTTAGAGGGCACACTCACCCATGGGTTCTCCTTTCCTCTTCACAAGAGCCCCCAGGGTCACATTTGCATGGGGCCCATTTTACAGATGAGGCTCAGAGAAGGACGGAGGCGTGAAGGAAGTCCCACAGCCAGGAGGTGCCAAGCTGAGGTGTGCCTTATACACTGGCAGAATCCCTGTTTGAAGTAACGTTTGTATCGATGTTTCTTTAAGCACAAAAAGTCACTCAGCCTAAATTGGGGGGAGGCAGGACTGGGAACCTGAGCAAATGTCCCCTTGGGTTATTTGAGCCTCACGAGGGAACTGACGTGGTGTGCTGGGAAACCGAAAGCAGGTCGGTGTGGCTGGAAAGGAGTTTAGCAAGTGACTTAAGCGTCTCTGTCTCAGTTTGGTGAAATGCGGATAATAAGAACGGTTTATTCACCGAGCCGTGATGAGGATTAAATACGACACTATGTGCCAAGGGTTCAGCCCGATGCCTGGCTGGTCCAGAGTGAGCGCTCCGGAAATCTCAGGCATGGCTTGCATTGGTAGAGTTGGCATTCAAATCTCTTCTCCCTGTCAGGCTTAGCCTCAACGCCGTCCACCCCATCACCCCGAAGCCTGGGGGCCACCCTAAACTTCATCCTCATGACCTATTGGTCTCCAGACCCTGACGTGCACATTTTTAGCATCTTTGTGTCTGCTCGTTCTTTCCGTTGTAGATCGACCTGCCTTCAGAGGTGGGGATCTTGCCTGTTCATTAGGCATCCTGTGAGCAGATACTTGATTCCTTTGCAGGTGCTAGCACCGAGCTGTGCTCCTCTGCAACCCACTGGATCCGACCATGAGCCTGAGGCTGGGCTCCGATCTTGAGGGACTTCCTTCCCTGCATCTCAGTCTGTGCACCTGGCCTCTTCTGTCTGTGCTGAGTGTTCTGGAACATGGCGCTGTCTGTGCGTTCCCAGGGCCTGGACAGCTCCCGGCCCAGCCCATGGGTTCAGTGAGTGCAGGAGGCAGGGACGCGCCCACGACTGCAGCGATGGCTGTGTGCACGGACGTGCTCCCCATAAATCCCTGACAGGTCCAGCAGCCCCAGCCCATTCAGAATTCAGGGTACAAGCAGCATTCCGTCCTGGCTGTCATGACCCATCAAGTGACAAATGTCTGTGGCCCGTGACTGCACTCCCAGAGACAGTGACATTCTTGCCACCCGTGCACGCTTGGTGCTGACGACAGAACGTGAAAAACATTTTTGTCATAATCCACATGCCACCGAAATGAGCGCTTTGGTGTCCTGGAATCACAGTGCGTCGAAGCGAGAGCATCGGGCAGATGTAAAGCTGGAGGTCAGGTACGAGACTCCTCCCGAATGTGGATGGGGGAAAAAGAACAACCAGCTGTCCAGGGTCCAGGCCGAGGGTCTTATGATGCCCCAGGCACCCAATGAGGCAGGTGCTATAATGATCTCCATTTTCAGAGGAGACAGTAGAGGCATGAAGGGGTGTGGTGGGTTGAATACTATCCCTCCAAAGCTATATCCAAGTGCTAACCTCTGGTACCTGTGAATGGGACTCTATTTGGAAGCAGCCTCTTTGCAGATATAATTAAGGACCTCAAGATAAAATCATCTCAAGATAAATTGTAGGGCCCACGCTAAACCCAATTACTGACGTCCTTATAGGAGAGAAAAGAACGGGGCTGGAGACACAGAGAGGGCCATGGGAGCAGGCAGAGACTGGAGAGGCCACAAACCCAGGAACCCCTAGAGCCAATGGAGGCCAGAAGAGGCAAGGAAGGGTCCTCCCCTAGAGTCTCCCGAGGGAGCACAGCCCTGCTGACATCTTGGTAACGATTTGGCCTCCAGAACGTCGAGGGAGTGACCTTCTCTTGTGTTTGTGTACTTTGTTGTACAGCCCAGGGAGATCACTAAGAGGGGCCATGGACTTGCCCCAGGCCATCTAGCTGGTGTGGCAGAGCTGGGCTTCGCCTCCCTCGGTCTTCTGACTCCAGAGTCCTTTCTCCTATACTAAGGTGACTGCCAGGAGTTACGTGAGGACGGGTCCTGATGCTCCCTCATGCCTTCCTTCCCTCCCAGGGCCTGGTGCTCAACAAAGTATACAGTAGGCATATAATAATGCACATCTGTTGGCTCTTTCACCCCTGATGCCATAAAGCCGGACCATGCCTCAGAAGTATAGATGGCTGGTGGCCTTAGAGTGTCAGCACGACAGAAGCGAAGGGTCCCTTGGAAACCATCTTGCATCGTCCCCTCCCTTTTGGAACTGGCCACAGGGCTTGAGGGGGAGGAATGGTTTGCCTCGGCCACCCCCTCGCTAGCCCTGCTGTTAAGTCTAGAACCCTGATCCTGACTCCCAGGTTCAGGGGATGCACCACTGTAACAGTTAAATTCCACCATCAGAGCCAGGTGACTCCACCAGGCACAGCTCCTGTACCCGCTTCCTCCTCTGTGTGGACTTACAGCCCTTGCTCAGATCTCCTGCAGCAGCCTCCCCACCAGTCCTCAGGCCTCCAGAGTCGTCTTCTCCAGTCTGTCCTTCTCAATTCTGACGGGGGAGCTGGCTTTCTGATCCGGGACGCAGGCCACGGTTGCACCCAGCTTAAAGGTCTCCCTGACCTCACGGCTGTTTTATGATCTGTGCTCCTGGGAATACCATCAGCTCTGCATGAGGCAAATACATTTTGGAGGAGGAAGGATTCTGAGGTCAAACGTGTCCGGGAAAAGACGAGGTTCAACCACGTTCCTTCCTGCTGGACTTCTCAGAGTCTTTAATGGGCTCATGTGCTTTGCTGGCTCTCAAAGGGGACCAACTCAATAGCAAACGTGGCTTGGAAATTTGACCTGATCCTGGAGTCTTTTTTTAAGTTTTAGTGGAGCGAGAGAAGGTACTAGGGCTGGGAACCTGTGCGGTTAGGTGAGCTGGACTTCTGGGGTCTGGCACTCGGGGTCCTTAGTGCTGCCCGGAGATCTTCTGAGCTGTACCATGCCCCTGGGGTTGCCCACACCACCCCGGCCTTTATCCGCACGCTGCTCGATGTTCCTAGAACTCCCCTTCTGTCTGTCTGTCTGTCTCTTGCTCTCTCCCCTCATTCAGTAGGCTCTCCCACAAAGGGTGCAGCTCCAGAGACACCGCCTCCAGGAAGCTGTTAGGTACCAGATGCTGCAAAGTTCTTTACATGCGTCCTGTACTCCTCAAAACACCTCTCTGATATCATTCTTTCTTAGGACCCCCCCAGATTAGATTTGGTTTTCCTCTTCACCCCACCTTCCCCAGGCATCTCTCCTTGACAACATTCCCACCCGCCATGCATTTTTGCTTATCTGTCTGCTTTTCAGGAGACTGTGAGCTCCCCGAGGGCAGGGCCTGTCACGGTCTCTGGCCTTGGTCTTCCTGTATCTCGGGTGTGGAGAAGACACGTGGGAAGGGTGTGTTGACTGACCAAATAAAGGAACGATTACAATACAAACAGCAAACTATGTACCTTGCTATGTGCCAAGCACTGTTCTTTTTTTTTTTTTTAATGTTTA